AGGAGTAGACAAGCAGTTAGTTAGGTTGATAATAATAACTGGGGATGGGGCATTGGGGCATTGGGGCTTGGGTTTTGTTTTGGACCACCCACTAGGAGTCAAGTATTGAATGAGACGGACCCCCAACACAATATATAGGCTCTGTTATAGACCGCTTTTGAGTTATGGATGTCATGTCTCATTCAATCACCCGCAGCATTAACTAATAACATGTGCAGCCCAAGCCCACCGGCCCAGTAGGCTGCTCTATTTCCAAACATCCAAAACATACCAACCACCCAAAAAGTAAGAAAAACGATGATGATATTGATGGCTCAAGGGCTTGCTTCATCTTCTTCTTGCTTCTAGTGTAAATTTTACTTGAATTGAACCAAAATTATGGTGGTGCAAATTCTAGTTTATTTTTGTTTCAAATTTATCATATATTTGTTTGATTGCAGTATAAATAAAGTAAAGTAAGACGTGAAACAGAATAAAATAAAATCCAAAACAAAATTATATCAAAGTTTGCACTACTGAGGCAAATAAAACTGCAGTACTGCAAACAGAGGTGTCGATTGGACTGGATTCGGTCCAATCCGATCCAGTCCAATGTGAGTTCATTACTACAAACGGATGGACCAGGTCCAATTCAATGTCCGGACTGTCCAATTTGTTCAAATTCATTTTAATTTAGATTGTGTTCAACCCAAACCCAGTGCCAATTCGTTGACATTTATATATGTGTATACTCTTATCCTATATCAATGGACCAGATATTGGCTTAATCCAACCAAATACAATTACGGACGGACCAGGTTCAGTCCAATCTAATAAATGTTTTGGACCGAACAGGTCCAATCCGTCCAAATTGACTTTGGACCGAATCAACTAACTGCAAACAAATGCTGCCTAAAATGCAAATAATAATGAAATTGGCCCTCCTCTTATTTAAAAGTCTTACTTAAAATCATCCCAACCGTGTCAAACACCAATCCACGATTAATATTGCTGATTCGAACACTGTAATTTAGCAAAACTAGTTGTTGGATCTGCTCAAAAGTCAAAACTACTTCTTGAGCTCTTTTGTTGATGTTGGGAGGATTGATGTTCAGGCCAGAAGACAACATCCCCAACCCACCTCTCTCATGGTAATTACTAATTAGGAGGCTTGTCAATGTCTTTATTATGTAACAAAAAATAAATAAAAAAGAAAGTCTCCATTGCTTGAATTGTTTTGCGTGAGCATTGGTTTGTGGCCGACGCGCGCTAACAACTAACAACCCTATTGGAAGAAACTAAGCTCGTTTCTGTCTCTAAACGTTAAAATGGATAATAGGTGCAATCTGAAGATTTCACGTAAACAAGAATTAATAGAAACCATAATAAAAACAACAATTAATAGAAATCTGCCTTCCTGCCGACTGGTCATCCTTTTCTTACTCCATGAATTCCGATTATCCTGACTTGTTCAAAGCAGATTAAATGTTATTTAGTTTCAGGCGGGGCTTAGATAGTCGATCGGCAATTAATGTCATTTTCTGAACACATTTGCCCATCGGAATTAGCATACGACCGAGTTGCAGACATTCTGAAGCTTTTCTGGAAGAAACATAATCTGATTGGATGATTTAACCAACTAATGTATAACATTCAATCAATTTTGAACATACCACACATAAGTTTGCTTGCACTACTCAACATTCCAATTGTTTAACAAGTTGCATTGGTTGGTATTAGGACCAGACCCTCTTTAGACACAAACTCTAGGCGTCAATATGGCTCTATTGGCAACCATGGTTTTCAACCCGTGACAACTTATGTCATCAAATTAAGAAAGAAAGAAAATAACCACCAATCTACTCCATTACAACCGTGGTATTGCCATGCAAACATGATTTGTGTATGTTTACACAATTGTCGGACTCATTGCCAATTATAAGAGACTAACCACAATTTATATTGAAGTGACAATGTGCCAACTGACTAGTTGGTAAACAGGAGAGGCTACGAGCTGAGTTTTTCATGAGTTATTCGATATTCGAGCTCGGCTTGGCTTGGTTTAAATCGAGCTTTGAGTCGAGCTCGAGCCTAATATATAGGCTTGTTTGTTAGTCGAGCCGAGGTCAAGCCCAGTGAGACTTGCGAGCCTAATATAATAAATAAATATTTTTTATTATATACATAAATACATACATACATACATATACATATAAATATATATAATAAATATTTTTATTTTTTTATTTATAATATTAAAATATTTTTATAATTCTTATTTTTTTGTATGTAAAATAAAAACATTTTTATATGTATATATTTTTATTTTTTTTATATGTATAACAATAAATATTTTTTATAATTCTTAATTTTTTGTATGTAAAATAAAAAAAAAATATATATTTTTATATGTATATTTTTATTTTTTAGAAAAAAATTTGGCTTGTAGTCAAGGTTGAGTCAAGCCAAGCTCAAACTTGTAAGATTTGAACCGAGCCAAACTTGATCTCAAGTTTCTAGCTCGAATCAAACTCAAATTTCTAGCACAAATCGAGCTTGAGCCTAACACAGTTTCAGCTAGCCAAGCTCAAACTTGTAAGCTTTGAACTGAGCCGAACTCGATCTCAAGTTTCTAGCTCGAATCGAGCTCAAGTTTCTAGCTCAAATTGAGCTTGAGCATAATACAGTTTCAGCTAGTCGAGCTCAAATAGCCAAATATTCAGCTCGACTTGACTCGAATCCACCCCTATTGGTAAGGTCTCTTGTTGGTTGTGTATTTTATTCTTCGGATCAAATCCCTACTGCACTGGGGCTGGGGGTTATGGGATGGGCTATCCCCACTCCATGGAGAAAAAAAAAAAGAAAGAAAAAGAATGGATGGATCTAGCATCTGTAAGATAGAGATGATGTTCATATTGTTTATTTCTTTCTTTTTATGTCTTTAGACAAATTGTGATCATGTTATACAGCATTCTTTAGTGGAATAAGGTATTTTTGTTCGTTTATAGGATTTTATGGAATTTTAATAAAATTTATGGTAGATACCCATCAACCAAGAGTAAATTTTGAGAAAAAAAAAAAACAGGCAATTTAGGTGGAGCCATGGCAGCACCATGTGGAGGAGACAGATCCGCATGGCTAGATCATAAGATTTATTATGTTTAACGGCATGCATAAATGGAGATATTTTATTAATGAAAATTTCCATTGGATGGTCCCAAAATCCTATCCTTTGACGGATGCCATGCTCCATATGATTATGTTAATTTTGTCCATTTTCTTGGCTGTAATTTGTACCTTTTTTTATTTTTTTGAGAAGCAAGCAGTATTATTTTTATTTTATAGCTGTGCAAACAAATTAACCATGCAGTTCACTCTCTGACAAAATTAAAGAAAAACAAAACAGAAAAAGAGGTAGGAAAATAAGAAAAAGAAAAAAAACAAAGCTTTCTTACTTTCTAAAGATGATTTCTTTAATTGGATTTTTGTATGTGAATCTCTAAGTATCACTCAAATTTCCCTTAAAATAGATTAATCCCTAAGTCCCAAAATTGGCGTTTTAATTCATTACTCTCCTCTTTGATGGCTTGTAATTTTGGATTTAGTCCAGTCTAGATAATAAAAAAAAGATATTAGAAACAAAACTGGAGATGGAACCATGTTTTCCAAATGGAAAAATTGGTAAATATTTGACCAAATAGCCGTAATATAAATTAGAGATGGTGAAGGGTTTATATCAACACGTGGTCAATAATGAATAGTTAATACATTATCCACACTATGACACTACGACTCTGCCTCTGGGCCAATTGTGTGAATTTTAGAGCATAGAATATATCAAGGGCCTGTTTGGTTTACAGGAATAAAGGTCTAAAATTGGAATTGAGAAACTCATTTCAGTCGGCCAAAATAAATAAGTGACTTGAGTAAGATATCGCATTTGCGCCCCATAATCCCTATACATGGTTGGGATATGCTGTGGGGAGTTTGTGGGGCGCAGACCAAATGGACCCTAACTTAAGTTCATTTATCCCATTCTAGGATTTAACTTACTTCCCTTAAAATTAAGACCTATTATTGTGGATAAAATATTTATTTATAAAATTAAGACCTATTATTTTTTGGATTTCACCTAAGAGAGGTCTTACACCAAACTTCAGCATGATTGGGTATCTATAAACCATATAGTTTGTGGCTTTGTGCATTTGAAAGAACCATTTATAAAAAAAAAAAAAAATCATTTATAGAAGTTTTGCAGCTAACTTGGGAGCAAATGGTGGTTTTGGGATCCCTAATTGGTACCCTATTAACTTGTAATATGTGCCAGATTTAGGGGTGCAATTTGGGTCGGGTTGGATTGAAAAGTTATTAAGTTTCAATAGACCCAAACCCTAGGCAACCCGACCCGATTTGCAACCTAACCCATTGGCAATTGGAGAAGGAAAATAACTCTATAGATGACTCTTCCAAAACTAAGAAAACACACACACACACAAAAAAAAAAAAAACACCTCTGTTATATCAATCCATATGCTAAATGAGTTTCATGGTAGAGAAATTATTGAGGGGCAACTTTGCTATTTATAGAAAAAGACTGAACAACCAAGTAATCTTTTTAGGTGGAAACTAATCTGGTTTAGGGCCCAAAAATTGCTCCATTTCACCATCCTTTATTATGGGCCAAACCTGAATCCCAAAACCCTTGCAACTTAATTACAATTAATATCATTCTTGAACAAATTTAATCAAATATTAAAAAAAAATCAATAATCAAAATTATTTGGTAGAAAAATACTAATAAAAGGTGAGGCACTAGGCTAATATGGATTATGGACCAGATGGTTGAATAAGTGAACAACCCACATGGGATTATCATGATTCCCTAAATCATGCTCTATCAGATTATCCTAATCCTTCATTAATATAATAATAATTAAAATTTTAAAATTGATGAGTTTTAATGTCACATTGGAAGGAAAGCTCTAAATATAATATATTGAAATTGAAAAGTTACAGGAGACAGAAGGTGAAGGAGAGGACCAACGTCTATAACTAATCCGGTCTCTCTGTCTTGGCTCTGTGTCTCCCGCTAACTCTTTCAGTATTTTTGCAGCTCCATTTTTCCCGGTTGAAGGTCCCTTTGCAGAGGAAATCCTTGCTGTGTTAGCTAACTGAACTTTAGTTTGTTCACCCCCACCACCACGTGTCTATTATAAGCAAGAGCGGCGATTCTAACGGGCTTCTGTTCTGTAAGAGTTTAAGGACGAAAAATCTTTACCAGACTACAGGATTTATGAAAGTTTTTTCCATTAATAGCTTTTTGTTTTCTTGCCAAAACCAGTTAGCCAGGTATGAGGTGAAAACTAAAAACAGCGATTTTTTTGCAGAGAAATCCGGCCATTTAAAGAAAAAAAAAAGGGATTGTGCAGGATTGGCCTGGAACAACTCTACCGACAGCTATTTTGTTGTCTGTTAAGACAATGTTTTTGACAATTCTTGCTCCCCAGGTTTCTCCGTTGTCTGGCTCCCGTCCTTTCCCTCCTGGGAATTCATGGAAGCCGTCCTAGAACCTCCATTTTCTCCTTCATGGTATGATCATGCTTCTATTATTTGTGTTTTCTGGGTTCATTATCTCTCTCTCTCTCTATCTCATAAAGCCGAAAATATGAGATATTCAGTTTTGTTTTGTAGCATTTTTTTTCTGGGTTATCTAGATGTTTGATGCTTTTGCCGTTATATTTCTGAATTTAATTTTTTAACCTCAGTTTTTTCTTTTCTCTTCGTTGAGCATTCTTTGTTTTTGTGTAGTTACAGACTCCAGTTCATTAACGTCGCTGCCTGTCGTTTCCCTCTTTCTTTCTCTTATATTGTATGGAAATGGAACATACATTGTCATTTCAAGCTTCTTCTCTCTCTTCTTTCGTGTTTCTCTCGCAGTCTGTTTTTTTATTTTTGCGGGTGCCCATTTGGTGTTTGGTTTTTTTGTTTCTGTTTTTGTTCCTCTAATTTCTAACATTGCTTTTCTTTTTTCCCCCTGTTTTTTAAGATTTTCCCCAACAATGGGTTGTTTGTTCTTAATCTGCTGTTTTCGCATGTCCTTTTGGTGGCTAGTTCTTTAGATGGGAACGAAAATGGCATCAATGCAACGACCGGAGAAGCCCCAGAACGTGAGGTTTCTCCGGCTGAAGATAAAAGTCCGGTAGATATTTTGCCTGACTCTGTTTCTACTGAAGGTGAGGTCTTTATTCCTTTTCCTCCAACTTTGTGACCTCTTAAGACCTCATTTACTCTAATTTTCTCTTCCAACGATGCTGATTTCATACTTTTCTGTCTTCCTAGACCAGAGATTGTTGGACATGGAGGGAAGACAGGACGGCTCCTCTCCTAGAGGAGTTCCTGAGGATAACACAAGGAGTGCAGAGTCAGAAACGGGTTCTCCCAAGGAAAGCACCTCAGACATTGATGCTCAAGCTCTTGCCAAGGTGGCTTTTCATTGGAACGGATTCTTCCGACTACTAAAATGTCCAAAAATGAGACAAATATACACCTTCCATCCTGTCGGTGTCCCAAAGTTTTCAAAATGGAAGGGCAAACATACACGAGAGGCCTCGGTTCCCAATCTAAATCCAGCCGAAGATACTGAGCTCTACCCTTTCAAGTCTTCCTGGAAGAACTTTACACTTTCTGAGATCGAAAGTGCAACCAACAATTTCAGCTCTGGTATATAATCTGTTTTCCCAATGGATTCAAATATTTCTCTCTCCTTGAAGCATATATATGAAATGTGACTCGAGTTTCAATCATAAAATTTCCAGTTTGAGATAAAAAGGATTTGTTATAGATTTTCTGTTTGTTGAAAATGAGATTAAGATTTCAATTACAATCTTACCTACTTGATAAAACTGCTTCTTTCTTCTGTTTTCAGAAAATGTTCTTGGGAAGGGTGGCTATGGAGAAGTTTACAAAGGGCAGTTGCCAGATGGGCAGCATGTAGCAATTAAGAGGCTTGCACGAGGAACACCAGAGGAGAAGATTGCGGATTTCTTATCTGAGCTTGGGATCATAGTCCATGTTGATCACCCTAATACTGCAAAGTTGATTGGTTATGGTGTTGAAGGAGGAATGCACCTTGTTCTACAATTGTCTCCAAATGGGAACCTATCATCTATACTTCATGGTTTGTTCATTATGTTTTTTGTTTGTGTCTCAAATTTATATGGATGATTGTGTAACAAATTCTCCTTGCTTTGCTTATTGTTTGCCAGATACTAAACAGAAATTAAAATGGAGCATTAGGTATAAAATTGCTAAAGGGACAGCAGAGGGTCTTCAGTATCTTCATGAGAATTGTCCAAGGAGAATCATCCACAGGGATATCAAATCTGCTAATGTTTTGCTTACAGAGGATTTTGAGGCTCAGGTACCACTCAAATCTGAGGATGACCTAATTATATGACCACATGTTTTGCAGATCTTTTTTACACGTGTATTGTTATTTTTTGGAAAATACATATCACTGGGAAATATTTACAGAACATTTTTAATACCTTCTGTTTGATAAAGTAGGTCCAACTTTAAGTTGTATGTTCTTATAATCTTCTTGCAATTTCTATGCCTAAACACTAATTTCATTGCTTTTCAATTGGATTCATTTAGTGCCTATCTTCTTCACCATTAACAAAATTAATTGGTCATTTTTCTGCTCTGTTTTGTATCCATTGGTATGGGCTACAAGATCCAGATATTTCTTGGTTTCAATTCATGTAGATATGTTAATTTTCTTTTCAAACTTGAAAACCTCCTTCCCCAATAAGCATTCTTTGATGAACAAATGGCTTAAATTAAAGGGGAACAATGATATTTTGTTATTTTCTATTTCTTGTTTCCTGGGTTTTGAAATGCAAAAAGTAACTTGTTCATTTCAATGCAGATTTGTGATTTTGGGCTAGCAAAGTGGCTACCAGAGCAATGGACTCATCACACCGTACCAATTGAAGGCACATTTGGGTCTCTGAACCTAAGACTTCCCATCTTTATGTGAGCGATTTAGAGAGCTTATATTCTAATGTCGTCCATTTCTTACCATTGCAGTTACATTGCTCCTGAGTACTTCATGTATGGAATAGTAGATGAGAAAACTGATGTCTATGCTTATGGGGTACTACTGCTAGAGCTCATCACTGGACGCAAAGCTCTGGACAATTCAAACGAATCAAACCAAAGCCTTGTGATGTGGGTATGTTTTCTTCTGCCCCAATTTGATTATTGTGTTGTACGCTGACATATCATTTGACCATGTTGAGGATAAAGTCTGAGACTGTTTCAATTACTTCTTTTTGTAGGCAAAGCCTTTTCTCGACGTAAATGCTATTGAGGAGCTTGTTGATCCTTCTCTTGATGAATATGACGCAGAGCAGATGAACCATCTAGTTTTGTTGGCAACTTCGTGCACACAGGACTCTTCATATCTACGTCCTCGAATGAGTCAGGCATGTTTTTATCTAAGCTCCAATCTAACAGTGAATGAAAAAACTGGAGATTAATGTGAGATTAGACCATAGAGTTAGATTACCAACTGCAGACTGGCGTAGGTGGTGAAAATCCAACTAAATAAATGGCCTTAACTTTGTGATCTCTTGGATTTTTCTTGGGGGGTCAATTTTCTTATCATTTAGGATATCTCAGAGGTCCATGTGTGAAGCCTGAACGTGGTCTTACTTTTAAATCTCAAAATAGAAATGTTCATTCTAGGAGATTTCATGTGGGACTGTTGTGTGTGTGCGTGTGTGTGAGAGAGAGAGAGAGAGAGAGTTATATTAGAATCTGATGCCTCATATTGTTGTTGGTTTGCTAAATGTGATTCATTTTCTTCCCTGTCAAAAGTGATGCTACTATAATTAAGATAGAAAAAGAAAAGGAAATCCTGAAATTATCTTTTATATTGGTGGAAGGTTGTATTAGAATCTGATGTACATGGTTAATTGTTGAACCACAATGCAGGTTCACAAATATGAAAAGTAGGTTGATTTGAATTTTCTGTGCAGGTAGTACAAATTCTTAAAGGTGAAGAATGCAGCTTAGAGTGTGCAAAACAAAGCCAACACCCATGCCTTCAAAGGAGCTACTCAATGCAAGTAGTTGATGCAAAAGAATAAAATTCAAAGCAGCAGCTTGAAGACCTTCATCTACGTAAGGAGATTGCTTTAGAGTTCTGGAAGCATGTCTCTTCGGGACAAGCTTCCAGAACATGGATTTAGTGGTTTTTTAGGTATGTTCATATCCAAATATAATGACTTAAATGTGAGTATGTTTTCTGGAATTTTAGGCTTTTGATGTCTCACAGAAGGACCCCTGATATGGGGACCTTAGACCTTTAGAAAAAGAGAAAGGAATTAAGGAGAAGATCATAAGAATCCTCCATAAATGAGTTGTAAAATGAAAGTGAGACTTTTATGTTTAATGCGCATATAAAAATCTTTAAGTTGATGGCAAAGTTATATTTATAAGAAAGCACACACCCATGACCCTCCAACTGGATGCAAGATTTATTACTTGTTATGTCGCAGAGGAAGCCCTACTAAATAAAAAAAGAGTTTAGAGTAAATTGCATATTAGTACTTTGGGGCTAGTCTCACTTTAATACCCAAACTTCAAAACATGCTACTGCAATACTTGAACTCTTGAAAACTGCCAATTTAGTACCCATTGCAAGCAGTTTTTCAGTTATCATGTACCACGCGATTACATATGTAACTTAAACTTTTTAAAGATGTCAAAACTACAATTTTTAATATTTTTGAGAGGGAAAATCTATGATACGGAAAAGATATGGTATGGGAAGAGTTTTGACCAATCAAAACCCACCCATGAATTTTGATAAATAACACCTGATTGGCTACCATGTTAATGATTCCAGTTGACTGATAAGAAGCTTTTCAGATATGATATCTTTTCCATATCATAGTTGAACCCTTTTTCAGAACATTTTATCTTGATTGTCTTCCTTAGTGATGAAAAGAATTATTCATCTTCTTTGGTCTAAATCCCTCTTCTCTAGCAACAACGTTGTCTTCTCTAATGACGTTTTTCCATGTAGTTTCTCCGACAGGAAGCACCAATTCTTAGGCATCAAGGATAGGGCATGAAGTAAATAGTGATGCCCAATACAAGGACATGGCCGTTTTTGGTCATTTCAAAATTATGCTTCTCTCACCTAGACAAGGGTATTTATGTCCTTTCATGTGCATCCAATGTTGGTTAACAATTTTGAATCAAACTGGCAGTTTTTGAGAGTTCAAATAGTATAGGTACTAAAGTAAAACTAACCCCAAAGTACAAGGTACTTATTTGCAATTTACCCAAGATTTTAGCATTTTGAGTTTTCATCCAAATTCCCATATGGACTTGAGCTGCAATAGATCTGTTTATGTTGGTATTACAGGAAGCATTTCATTGCTCTATCTTGTAAATTCAACCACCTTTAACTAAGAGTTAGAAGTTCCCCCAAGCCAAACTAGGCCTTAACATGTATCTTAAAGTGCAACTTAGGGGAGCATGAAGTTCAACCTCAGAGAATGTTGATAGAACTTGTGATTTTTGTAGTGATTTGGAGGAGGTTGATCATGTGTTTAAAAATTGTATAGTTGCTAAACATGTGTGGTCAATCATCAGCCCTATGATTTGTGGTCCAAGAGAGTAGTGCTTTTTAGAGTGGTGGAAAAGTTTGGACAAAGTAATGGGCTCAAATTTGCTTGAAAATATAGTATTATTATTCTATGGGTGATTTGGAAGAATAGAAATGGCAAAATCTTAAATAACAAATGCCTTTGTCCCCTGGTTATGGTTAAGTGTGCTTTAAATTTTGGGGGTGTTCTACAATGTGAATTGTTTTTCTTGTTGCCGGTTCTAAAAATAAATTAAAACGATCTTGTTTAAAAACAGCTTGTTTCTTAAAACAAAAACATTAGAAACATGTTCTTGGTTGTGTACATGTTTTTTGTTTTCAAAACTGAAACAAAAAAAACATGTTCTTGAATTTGGTTTCAAAAACATGTGTTTGTCTGATTATTCAACATCATGTTTTATAAATCATATAATTTCTATACTAAACAACTTGTTTTATTTTAAAAACCAATATTTTCTTATTTTCAAAAACATGTATTGTTTTTCAAAACAAAACCAACTTGTTTTTTCACTTTGAAAACAAAAACAAAGTTAAAGAACATGTTTTTGTTCTTTTTTTTTCTGTTGTGATAATTCCAAAAACAAATGATAACAAAAACATTCATGTTGTAGAACACCCCCTTATTTGCTAAGATTAATAATGTTATTGGTCCTCATTCAAATCCTTCAATGCTGAAAGACATAAGGTGAAAATGACGGAAAGAGGGGGGTATCAAAATTAACTTTGATGCTTCCCAAAATGATGATAAGGGCTTGTTTGATTGCTTGCATTAATAGTAGAGGTGTAAATCAGGCAGTGCTGCCCACGGGCCGGCATGACCCAGCCCAACACAGCCCAGCACAACCCATATATATTATTTATATATTTATACATATAATATATAATATATTTATATAAATTATAATTATATAATAATATATTAATAAAATAAACAATTTTTTCGATTTTATTATATTAATTTATTTAGTTATTGTATATATAAGCAATTGTATACAACAAAATTCATATAAAATTAAAATTTTAAGTTTTTTTCAAATTTTTTAAATAAATTGCTTTGTCCCAGTCCACGGCCCGACCTGGCCCAAGGTTTATCCCACAGACCAGCCTGACCCATGGAACGGCATAGGCCCACACGGGCTTGGGCCGTGGACCATGCCGGGCCAACCCCCAAGTTATCCCTGGGGAGGGGGGCACGACCTGATTTACGCCTCCAATTGTTAGAAATCATTTTAGGAATCCTTGATGCAAAGGCCTATTTTATTGGAGTAAACTCAATTGATCTTGCGGAAGCTTACGTGGCTTGGGAAGCCTATAATATTGCTCTCAATTTTAGGAATTATCCAGTTTACATCGAAGGTGACGTACTCCTTATTATTCCTTGTCTCAAAAAACAAATGTTAAATCCCCCTATTTATTTAGAGAAGCAAATCAAGTTACGTTGGCACTGGCTCCAGCGGTAAACCCAGAAACACTAAGCGCTATTGAATCCGAAATCAGATGACATTCGTCAATATTCTTTAGCAAGCTGGATTTCATAGGAGTCTCAAAATTCTGGGTCTCCCCTGCATCAAATTGATTGGTTATAAGACTTCATGATCCTTTGTTGGGAGGCTTTGGAAGGCTAAGAATGCTTTCTTATTTAAAGGGAGTAACTTCTCTCTAACCCAGGTTGTGCAAAAAGGTGTATTACCTTCAGCAAAGCTGAGACTGTTAGTTGTCAATGCTAATCTGCAGAACACAGATATCAGTCCTTCTTCTAGTTCCCAAATTTTATCCTGGGTTCCCCTCAAGGATGGTTCGAAGCGAATGTTGATGCGAGCTTTTCTTTCAAGACAGGAGATGCCACTATTTCCTACACCATTAGATATAGCTCTGGTTCGATCATTTTGGGATAAGCTATAAAAATCTTATGTAGTTTTACCTCCATAGCAGAAGTTCTGGCTTTACATCTTGGTTGTTCTGAAGCCTCCAGTTGGAAAAAGGGGTAGTTTTATTTTTGAATCAGATACTAAGGATGTGATCTCTTCTCTCTTTATCTTTAGGGACATACACCAACCAAGACAGTTCTTGCTGTCCCCTTGGTGTAATCAGTATGACATCTGTTGTTTTACCTGGTCCCTTGTGGCTTGTGAGTTTCCTCACATTCCCGGTGGATGTAATTCCTTGGTGGACAACTTTGCCAAGATGGTGCATCGGATCCAGGCTTTGGGAGGCTCTGTTAATGTTTTTGACTATCTAAATAAAAGCATTGTTTCTTGATTACCAAAAAAATTATTGGTCAAGGGTACTAGCATGTCAGCCCTAGATTTACGACCTCAAATGACAAATGTTGTCTCATATTTTGAGTCGTGCTGAGCACGTTGTTAGCACTTTAGGCTCAGTTTGAAAGGAGTACAAATACAAATATGTACTGTGTAAATACCAAACAAAATAATACAAAATACAAAATTTTACACTCTACAAATTTGTATTTGTACTCCTGAGCCTTGGGAGAGAACACTGCAGGCTGTGCCCTCCTCCTTACAAGCCTTGGATGCAGACTCTCTCTTTCTCTAATAAAAGCGTTGGTAGCTCCACCCACAGAATTGCATTTGCAAACACAAAATTTTCATCCTTCGGAGTGGTTGAATTTGCAAGTTTTGAATTGAACCAATGCTCATTACATTACTTCATGACCGGACTGACAAGTGTGAAAACACAGATTCCAACCTAAGAGCTTGTATAAAAAGGCCAAAGGTTAAGACTGTATCGACGGTGTGTTTGGTTTTGTGGATTTTTATTGATGGGTGTTTTTTAGATAAACGCTTATTTATAAAATATTATTTTAAGCATTTATTATTTTTGTTGTTTGGTTGGGCGTTTCAAATAATATTTCATAAAGTTAATGTCTAGGCGTTGGGGGAAATAAGAATTTGAAATTCTCCCAATGCTTTGTGCACAAAAATCAAAGAATTTCTGTTTTCTAGCATTTATTTGATAAATAGTAAAATCAAATAGTGGTTTCATGCACAACACCGATGTCTATATAGTGTTGATGTGGTGGCATTTTTCCAATAAATACCCACAGGACTAAACATATCCTTCATTTTGCCAAGATTGTATCTTAGATTCCAATCTACAATCAGTGGTCTATTCTCTAGGTCATTCAACTAGAATTGTTAATGGGTCAGGTCTAAATCAAAATAGGGTGAATCAGTCCCAAACTTATTTTTAATTGAGATAATTGGGTATGATCTGATTAGACCTAATTATACTTGACAATTGACATCTATAATTGCCCATCATATAGCCTTTATTTTATGGATGGGTTTATATAACAAGTACTTTCATATTACAGTGATGGATATATGGATAAAGAGAATATACTGCAAGTATTTATTTAGGCCTAGTTATGTATGGATACATTTAGATTCAGTTCTCAGTTATGGGCCAATCAATCAGGACTTTGAAGGATAGTAAAGCCCAGATAATTATTGCATCTATTAATGGGCTTTATGTAAGCCCATACAGTTAGGATGGATTTGGAATTCGTATGGGCATTGGGAACATCTATCATGCCCCACATGCACATCCAGCTGTGTATTGGGAACATCTTCCCATGACAAGTACGCGGGAGACATTCCCAATACACGGTTGAATGTGCATGTGGGACACGTCTTGTGGGGGAGCCTATCCGAATTCTTATTATGTGGTTCAATCGATTCCTAGTGAGTTGCACATAAGTTGGATTCCGTCCAGCCATGGTGGAGATGATCTTAGTTGGTTTAGGGCTGGATTCTAGTGGATCTCACTTATAACCAACACTTGTTTGGG